GACTCAGTGATTCATTCACTATGCATTTATTGAATGTTTACCCTTTATAAGCATCTATACAGGGTGCTTTGGGTGAATCAGAGATAAATAAGAAGGGTGATAAAGGTAAGTCAGAGATGACTAGGTGATTTAAAACCTAAGTGACTTGGGAAATAGTAGTGCTGACATGACTGGATTACTGGATGGTAGGATTAGAGTACTAGTTTTCAGTAGAGAGTAATTTTAACTTTAAAGTCATGGTTTAAAAAATGTCATGGTATTAAAAGTGAAAATGTTTGGTAAGACAACACAAATATGGAACTGAGGTCAACATTAGGGAATAGAAATAAAGGATATAACAGTGGGAGTCATTAATTGCAAAGGAAATAGTTGAAGCAATTGATGCAATAGTTGAAGTAGTTGGTACAATCTAAGGAAGAATGTCTTGAAGGAGAAACAGTCAAGAGTTGTGCTTTGGGGAATAGTCATAGTTGGATACTTAAAATGCAGAAAATGAATGAGAAAGGAAACATTAAGAAAAACAAGCAAATTGTGCACAATGGAAATCATGTTAGGTAGAGGTTCAAAATGCGCAATTAGCTAGCAGTATCAGTTTCAGTAGGGAGCACCTAGACAATGAGGATAAAGACAGATTTAACTGTGAGAACATATTTGGTAATCTTTGAGAATGAGATGTAGTAGAATAATGGGAAAGAAAATAGACTGCAAAAGAGAGTGAATTTCTAGACAACTTTTTGGCATACCAGTGACCGGAAGTTGGTAGGTGGTCTTAATTATGGTTCATGAACATCATCTACCAACTTCCTGTCACTGAATTTGGAACATAAGTCATAATCATCTCTCTAATCCTATGTGACTTTAGCATCTATATGGATAATCTCTTTGTCATCTAGTCTTTCATCAGTACAAAGTTCTTTTTCTCCGGTGATCTTAGTCTCCATTCTGTCACTATCCATCCACTTCTGTAATTCTTGTTGTCAGATGGGATTGCTGCATTTATGAAATTCTTGATTCAGGCATTCTCTTTGCTAAACACCAGTTGTAGTATTTCTAGCTTACTTGTTTAAATACCCCACTTGGACTGTTTTTTAACTTTATCTGGCCCTCCAATAATCACTTTATTTTCTGCTTATACTTTTGCCTTTTGTGTTCTCATTTTCTTCTCCTCCTGTTTAGTTAATAATTTTTACCAATATCCTAAACTCTTTTGTTCCTCTTTGATTTTTTTGCACCATTCTTCTGAAGCCACTCCCTGGATAAACTCAGGGATTTACTTTTACTTTGCTTATACCCAGTGAAACAAGGAAAATCTCACAAAAGCACAGATTGGTCTCACTATAAATTCATAATCACTACCTATATCGTTGGGCCATCAGCGTTGTCTGATGACTCTAATATTTTCTGAAGTCAACTTACTCTCTCTCAGACTGTTTCACATCTTTTTGATTCTCCTCAAATCTCCATTTTTGCTCCTATTCTTAGATGACGTTATGTCCTTTTCACAGGAAAATTAAAGCCATTAGATCAGAATTACCTCAAACTTCTGGCATCAAAACTATAAACTTAACTGCAAATGTGCCTAACCTGTTCTTTCAGTGCCAATGGAAGAAGATATTTCTCTGCCTCTCTTTAAGGTTCAATTCCTTTACCTGTCTGCTGGTTCCCATTCCCTATATCTTCTTATCAAATTTTACACTTAATTAGCCCTCTTTATCCTCTTCCTCTTGAGAACTCATATGAGCATTAATATATGCTCTGGTTTATCTAACCTTAAAAAAGAGAAGACAGATCTTGACCCCATTGAGCCTCCATCTACTTGCCAGTTCATAAGAGTTGGCCATACCTTCTATCTTAATATCCTTTCTTCATGTCAATTCCTCTGCAACTTTTTTTCTCCACCAAACTTTTTTTAAAACCATCAGTGACCCTCATGCAGGTTTACATTTTAATCTACATCCTACTTGGCCTGTCAGAAACTTTTAAATAGACTTGCCCATTTTCTTGAAACTCTCTTCCTTTGGCTTCCATTGCATCAAAATCTCTTGGATTTCTTTCTACTGCTCAAAGAAAATGGGAAGCTGCTAAAATATTTTATGCAGGGAAGGGTCAGTTTTAATGTAATGAAAGCTTTTAAAGGGAGAGGATGTGGTTGAAGAAGAGACCAGTTCTGAAGCTACTATAATAGTCCAAGCCAGAGATACTGTTTCCTTGAATTAAAATGGAGAGAGATGGTTTGGAAAGAATTGAAAGGATAAAATCGGGAAATTTAGGAGTTAATACCAACAGGATTTTATGATAGATTAAATGTAGATGATTAGAAAGCAGGAAATTGCTTGTTCTGATTTAGGCATCTAAGATGGATGATATGTCATTTATCATACAGAAAGAAAAAAAAAACATGGAAAGGCCATGTTGAGTTTTAAATGCATTTGAGATTCTGAATGGAAATGTCATGAGGGAAGTTGGATATATATATAAGCCTGAATCTCAAGAGTTAAGATGCAAATCTTTTAATTGTTGCTGTATAAATGGTAATTTAATTGAAGTTATGAACATAAAAGAAATAATTGGGAAAAGCTTAAGAGTAGGAAGAGAATTTAGTCTAAGCTTTGGTGAATTCCAGCATTTGAAGGTTGATTCAGGTAGGATGAGTTGACAAGGAAGACCAAGGATTCATTACGGAAGTAGGAGAATGTCCTATCTAGGAAGCCTTGGGTACAGAATGTTTTAAGAAAAGGAGCAAGCATTTTTGTTTTCATCCAAATATAGTGTATCATTTATCTCACTTAATGATAATTGCCTGTTTACATGTCCATATAACCAACAGTTTAAGTTCTTTTGGGGATTGTGGGTTGAACTAGCTTGGAGACAAGCAAATATTTTCTGTAAAGGGCCAGATAGTAAATATTTCAGGCTTTGTGGGTCGTATGATCATTTCTGGTGTAACTACTCAACTCTGCCACTGGGGCTAGATAGTAAATATTTCAGGCTTTGTGGGTCGTATGATCATTTCTGGTGTAACTACTCAACTCTGCCATTGTAGCATGAGCGCAGCCATATACAGTATGTTAAAGGTGAATGTAACTATGTACTAATAAAACTTTATTTATGGATGCTGATATTTGAATCTCATAATTTTCACAGATAAAAAAATACTATTGTGACTTTTAAAAACTATTTAAAATAGGAAAAACATTCTTAGCTTGTGGGCTACACAAAAACAGGGAGGGAGCAGAATTTGGCCAACCGCTGTAGTTTACTGATCCTTTTCCCATAATTGAGCCTGGTGCCTGAACCATAACAGACACTCAGGTAAATTTTTGTTGAATAAATTAAAGTTGAATAAGTTCAGGTCTTTTCTATGTTTTTTGGGGGCTGGGAGGTAATTAAGGTAGGCTTTTTGCTTTTAAGTCCTGAAAGCAAGAATTCATACATTTATGTTCATGCATCTCTTTAGAGATTAACTTTTAATTTGCTAAAAGTAAATTTAACATTTTGAAGCACTATCAAGTGGCCAGAAAATGGTTTTAAATATTTAAAAGGATATAATTATATTATTTTGGGCTGCAGAAAAGTAAAACTGAGTTCCAGGGCTTCTAGAATGCATAGATATTTTGGCTTTGATTTTTATTAATATGTAGGTTTAAAAACACTTGTGGGCAGTAAAATACACTTTTGCATCATTGAGAATTCTAATCATTATTATTATTATTTGTCTTGAATTTTTGTTTTCATTTGATCTTAGTCATATAAGGTGATACTGTTGGTAGGACATGAACTCTGCATTTATGTTGCTAGAATTTAGCATGAGAGACAGTCTATAAGCAAGTGAGCAAATAGATTAATATATATTGACAACTTGTGATGTGTACCATGAAGGAAATGAACAGGTGTAATATTATACACTAATTATGAAAGATGGGCAAAGATAGTTAAAGTGGTCAGAGAATGTATCTCTTGGTTAGTTACTTACGCTGAGACCTGAGTTATATGGATGGGAGAGGAGAGGAGTATCTAGGTAGAGAGAGAGCATGTGTGATTACTCTGAGTCCTATGAGAACTTGGTATTTTCCAGGAACTGAAAGGTGGTTTTAGGCATAAGTAACTTGAGGTATCTGCATTGAAGAAATCTACAAATAATTGCTTACATAACAGAGATTGGTATATTTTGGATTTTTAAAAATCAGACAATCTGTACTAAGATATAGCTCATAAGTATCAGGATCAAAATTGGCTAGGTTAAAAAAAATGTCCCGTGTGTTCCACATTCATTGGAAACCATTTAGCTGAAATGACGTTGCTGTTATGTATATGGATTGACAGGCAGTTGGAACTAATGTGAATAATTCCCATACCAAGGGCTATTTAGCACCAAACTTCAGATATGCTGAAACAATAAGTCAAGGAAGAAAATGGTTCCTACATGAGTAACTCCATTTAGTCTATGAAAATGTGGCACACTAAGCTATCACCATAAGAGATGCCTTAAGCAAAGGAAGGATGGCTGACAGTAGGACTTGCGAGTCATTGTCAGTGGGAAGAGCACAGCAGATTGGAAAGAGGGTAGAAAAGAGTGAGGGAAATAGAATAAGCATAAACGGAGATGAAATGAGAATCCTGGGCAAATCAGAGTGAAGAAGGAGGACAACAGGAAAGAATTCAAGTAAAAAAAAAGGGAGGATGCTAATAGTTTAAGAGGAAAATATTCTAATAGGCATAACTTTATACAGGGTAAAACCTTAGAAAAGTCTAATTTACCCATTGCCTAATCATATGAGAAATTCTAAATCAAAGCTGATCATATCTTTGATTATCTCTTCTACTTCAAAATCTTTGTTTTGCAATATTTCACTTTGAAAACTCGAAGTGACAAATTATATACTTTTACGATATTTTATAAATTTTTATCTTTTTAAAATAATATTTGCAAATATTTGTTTTTAAATAAAATGTATATACCGTCTAGTATGTTGTATTGATTTACTCAATGTTCTTTTAAGTGTTTCAGGCTGCATGTACCAAGTAGTTCAGACGATTGGCTCGGATGGAAAAAATCTTCTGCAATTACTTCCAATTCCTAATTCTTCTGGAAATCTTATACCGCTAGTTCAATCTTCAGTCATGTCTGATGCTTTGAAAGGGAATACAGGAAGCCCAGTTCAAGTTACTTTTCAGACTCAGATTTCCAGCTCTTCCACAAGTGCATCAGTTCAATTGCCCATTTTTCAGCCAGCCAGTTCTTCAAACTATTTTCTTACAAGAACAGTAGATACAGCAGAAAAAGTTAGAGTTACTTCTGTGGGAACTGAACATTTTACCTCATCAGTTTCTAAAGTTCAGAGTCATGGTGTGAAAATTGATGGACTCACCATGCAAACATTTGCTGTTTCTCCCTCCTCAACACAAAATGATTCACCTTATATTTTAGTAAATACTCAGAGTCTTCCAATGACTGTGAAGTCTCCAGTTTTGCCTTCTGGGCATCATTTACAGATTCCTGCCCATGCTGAAGTGAAATCTGTACCAGCGTCTTCATTGCCTCCTTCAGTTCAGCAAAAGATACTTGCAACTGCAACCACAAGTACCTCAGGAACAGTTGAGGCCTCCCAAATACCAACCGTTATTTACGTATCTCCTGTAAATACAGTGAAAAATGTAGTTACCAAGAACTTTCAAAACATTTACCCAAAACCTGTTACAGAAATAGCAAAGCCAGTGATACTAAATACCACACAAATTCCAATGAATGTTGCTAAAGAGACACAATTAAAAGGTGGTCAGCATTCTCAAGCTGCTCCTGTGAAATGGATTTTTCAAGAAAATCTACAGCCTTGCACTCCATCTCTTGTTCCTGTTAAGTCTTCAAATAATGTGGCTTCAAAGATTTTAAAAACTTTTGTAGATAGGAAAAGTTTGGGAGATAATACTATAAATATGCCATCATTGAGTACTGTCAGTCCTAGTGGGACACAATCCAAAAGTATGCCTATTAAAGATAATGCCTTGGTTATGTTTAATGGGAAAGTCTATCTATTGGCTAAAAAGGGGACAGATGTTTTGCCATCACAAATTGACCAACAGAATTCTGTTTCTCCTGATATTCCACCAAGAAAAGATACATCACAAATAGTGAGTTCAAGTCCAGTCACAGAAATATCCAGAGAGGTTGTAAATATTGTTTTGGCTAAAAGTAAATCTTACCAGATGGAGACAAAATCACTTTCAAATACTCAGCCTGCTTCTATGATCAATCTAAGGGCAGAGAAGAATAAAAAAGTGGAGAAACCATCTCTTTCTACCCCAAACCCACATAATATGAATCAATCCATTAACTACTTAAAACAGAGTAAGACTTTATTCACAAAGCCAGACTTTCCAGATGGATTTAGTGCAGTACAAAATGCCCCCAGAAAAGGAAATATCATCCAGAGCATAGAGAAAATAAGTTCCTCTGTTGATGCAACAACTTTTACTTCACAACAGTGTGTTTTCAGAGACCAAGAACCAAAGGTAATTTTCCCATGTCAGGGTGTTCTTTTTATCTATCTATATAGAAAATTTTTCTTTCTTAATTCTCAAAGTTAGTTACCTATGATACCTCTTCCCCGCTCCTTTCCCATCCTCCACTCCATCACACAAATACCATACACACATGAATGCTTAATTAAGTCAAAGCTTTCATCTGAAGGAAATGTTTGAGGAAGATAATAGAGTCTTTCTCTTAAATCATTTGGCATGCCAAATCTTTAAAACAAAATCAAACAAAAAACTCAGCAACAAGGTTTAGAAGAGTTGGTGAAAGATAATGTGAATTCACAGTTTGGTAAAATTCTGTGTGTGTATATATATACATGTATACACATATATATACATATGTACATACATATATTTACTAGATTAATGTTAGTATATGGAAAGATCAATATTATGCATCTAGGAGAGCTGGGTTTTTTGTTTGTTTTGTGATGGTAGGGAGATACTGGCAATTTTTTTAGGTAGATGGTAGAAGGGGTAGAATGGGGCTGATCAGTACCTTTCAGTCATTTGTGGAAATAGGATCTATCAACATCTTTTTTTTTTTTTTAGTAGACAAGTTTCCCCTTTTTTTTTTTAAACCCTTTCTGACTCTTCAATTATTCAGCATATCCACATAGTTACTTTTCTGTTCTACTTAAGATATGTGTGTCTGTGCTAAGTATTTATGCCCACTCTTTCCTTATGTAGAGATCTACTTAATAATGTCAGTGTTTCTCCCCTTCAGTATGGAATTCATTGAATTCTAGATATGTAAGGTGGTAAATCCTGAAGCATAAGATTGATTAAAGGCATAAGACTTTTCCAGAAGACTACAATTTCCAACTAATGTTTTATAGATTATTTTTAACTTGTCATTAGTCTGTATTCTTATTTCAGTTTGAGAATCAACTATCTGTTAACCTTTCCAGTGCAAGAAAGCAAAATAAATGAGAAATTTTAAAGGAACAGTTTTAAGTTTGTACTCAGTTAAATTCATTTTTTCAAATGTGGGTGGTAAGGCAGGGGTAATGCAAACCAACCATTTAGGACTTTAGAGCATGATGTTTTAAATAAGATGAGATGAACACTTAGTTGCTAGTCTGATAAAATAGCTTAAGTAATTAGCAGTATTGTTTGTGTGTTTTGTTTTCCTAATTCCAGATCCAGAATGAGATGGCATCAACATTAGAAAAAGTTACTCAAGAAAGAAATGACAAGAACCATTCCCAAGGAGGAAGCAATAAGGCATCATATCTGAAGAATGATGCAGAATTTAAAAAGATATTTGGTCTCACTAAAGATTTGAGAGTGTGCCTTACTCGGATTCCTGATCATTTGGGCTCTGGAGAAGGTTTTGATTCCTTTAGCAGTTTGGTGAAGAGTGATACTTACAAAGAGACTGAGTTGATAGTGAAGGAAGAAAAGAAAAAACAGGTAATAGATTTTTGGTGTCCTTTGTAGTTACTCCAAAGGTTCATGAATGCATTTTCTTGATTTGTTTTTTTTTAGTCTGTACATTAATATGAATGATAGTTATCAAATTTGCATATTTGTATATATTATACCAAATCAGTGTTAAAGAGAACCATATATACAAAGGTAAAAATACATCCCCAGTTAAAGTTGTTGTATTAAGTGTTTCTATTCACCTGTTTATTTTTTTCATCAAAAAATTATAAGACAATGCCCATAACTTTTTAAACTACTTATCCTACTTTGAAGACCCTATCTAAAATAATCCAACATGATCCGATGAGCACTGGGTGTTAAACACAACTAATGAATAACTGAACACTACATCAAAAACTAATGATGTACTATATGTTGGCTAATTGAACTTAATAAAAAAATTAATAAAATAAAGAATCCAGATGTAGGGAAAATATAAGCATGTAGATGTTCATTACAGTATTACCCTTAATACAAACATTTTAAGAACTCTACTTGGTCGATAATGATGAAAAACATCCCTACAACTTTGCCTATTGTTATTCTACTTAGGAATATATCATTATACTGCTTAATATCCTGAACTTTAGATCAGACACCAGTGAACCTTTCCCAATGAAAATCTTCCATATGTGCTTACTGTGGGAAAGGAAGCACAAAATTAAGTCAATTCTTTTTCTCAAGTTCTTTACAAATGGCTGTTATATTTTGGTGATAGATCAATACATCTAATATTTAAGCAAGGAAATGTAAATTAAGCAATTTTCTTCTCTGTGAATATCATTAGGACATTGCTATTCACTTTAGTACTCTACAGTGCTAAACAATTTTTTGCTGTAGTTCTCAGTATATTTTGTTGAGTTGAATTTAATAAGTATGTTACCTGCAGTATCCTGTTAAATTTGAGAGCACACTGTCTATGTGGCAATAATTTGTTTTTCTTTTGGAATCTTACTCAACATAACAACAGGGTTTTGATAAGAAAAGAAAAGCAAAAACCGTTAAGAAGATGGATCACACAAAGAAGAGAAAAACTGAGAGTGTTTATAACACAGCTATAAATGGAGGAACTAATGTCAACAATTCCCAACTCGTCAACAGTATTTTACCAACTTCGGATGTATCACGCCATAACATTCTCACAAGCCGCAACAAAACCAGAGAAGAAAAGAGAACTGAGGTTGAACGCTATACCCCTGAGAACCAGGAAAAAGGCACATTGAGTTCAAATGCAGCTTTTGAACAAAGTCATTCTTTTAATAAAAATTATACTGAAGATATTTTCCCCATGACACCACCAGAGTTAGAAGAAACCATTCGAGATGAAAAAATAAGAAGACTTAAGCAGGTGCTGAGAGAGAAAGAAGCAGCTCTTGAAGAAATGCGTAAGAAGATGCACCAAAAATAATAAAATGTTGCTATACTTAAAGACTGCAGTGAAATAGCTGGGTTTTTTTCATAAACTTTTGCATTAAGTTAATTATAGATGCATTCTGAAAGTGTCTGAATATGAAACTTGTTTTTCCATCAGTTAATGATTAAATTTTATTTAAGGACTACAAAAAAGGTTGATTTCACACATGACTCTTGTGAATAATCTACATGGGGTATCTAAATCTTTGTCTAGATACCTTTTTTTGGAAGGAAAAATTTTCTATTTTTCTATTATTTTAATTAGAATTCCCAAAGTTTGAGTATTTGTGCAAGGTTTTTTTTTTTATTGTTTGCATCTTTAGCTGAACCGCTCAGGTGTTATTCCAACAGTAGATAATTATTGTATACTACTGAAATTATACAATGCAAGGGAGGAAATCAGCTCTAAACAGCCTTGCCAATGGGCTTATATATGTACTCAGTCTGTATCCATGATACCATTGTTGTAAATTTTTGTTATTTCATGAAAAAAATGTATTATAGCAGTATTATTTAAAAATTCAAACATTTCTCAGAGTGAGGGACACTTGTGGCTTTTACAAAGTAATTTTATATAATCCCAAATGGGTTTTAGAATCCAGGCTATATAATGTATTGGTTGCTTAAAGTGATAAGTTATTCCTAGGTAAATACTTTTTCTTCTTGATCCTCCCCCTCCTCTTCTTTTTCTTATGCTCCTTTTTTGGAATATGTACATATGTAACTGTGAAAAATAAATCTGAACAATGGCCACATTTAATACGTTTTAAAATTGTAAAGTATACCTTTTCTTAGTGGAGGCAAACATTTTTCGGTCTAATTATGCTTGATTCAGAAAGTTCGGAAGTTGTGTGGGGATAGGGATTAATGGGAAGAAGAAAAAGTTTACCAAAAAAAGAAAAAAAGAAAGAAAGAAAAAGACAAATCTCCGGAAGTAAGGTCACATAAAACCTATACACATTGAGAGGGAGTATAGAGCAAATGCAAAGATCAACTAAATTCTCGTGCCTTTTATTTTTTTTCTTGTAATAACAGTTTTATTGAGATAATTCACTTACCATAAATTCACCCTTTAAAAGTATACAATTCAGTGGTTTTTATTCACAGAATTGTGCAACCATTAACATGACCTAATTTTAGGACATTTTCATCACTTCCCAAAGAACCTCATACCCATTAGTAGTCACTCCCCAGACCCTCCACCCCCCAGCCCTAGGCAACCATTAATATAGTTTATGTCTCTAGGGACTTGTGGAAATTCAAAGCAGGGCATGTGGGTGGCTCAGTCGTTAAGCGTCTGCCTTCAGCTCAGGTCATGATCCCAGGGTCCTGGGATCGAGCCCTGCATCGGGCTCCCTGCTTGGTGGGAAGCCTGGTTCTCCCTCTCCCACTCCCCATGCTTGTGTTCCCTCTCTTGCTATGTCTCTCTCTGTCAAAAAATCTTTAAAAAAAAATTCACAAGCATGGTAGGAATTATTCAGTATGTTTTCTTATGTGATTGGCTTCTTTCACTTAGTTTAATGTTTTCAAGGCTTATCGGTTCTGTAGCATGTATTAGTACTTCTTTTTTTAAATTGCTGAATAATATTCCATTGTATGAATATACCACACTTTGTTTTCCATTCATCTGTTACGGACATTTGGGTTGTTTACACTTGGCTTCTAGGATATTATGTTGCTATGAATGTTTGGGTATAAGTTTTTATGTGGACATATTAGTGTATTCTTAGGAGTGTAATTGTTGGGTCATATCCTAACTCTGTTTAACATTTTGTGGAACTGCCAAACTATACATAGGTGTTTCTTACCCTCCTCCACCAAAATGGATCTTGTCAAGGACACCAGTGACTTCCATGTTGCTAGATCTAGCAGTTGTCTTAATTTATCTATCAAGGGAAATACAAGTTCATGAATCATTGCCTCCTTTGAAAAATTTTAAAACATTTCATTAAAGAAGCAGTACATGTGCATTGTAGAAAATTTAAAAATACAGCAAGCTACAGTATTAAAAATTGAAGCTTCATATTCTCATCACACTATAAAATATTGATGTTGGGGCTTGAAGATATATAATTACCTCTTTCATTAGGTTTATTTGCAGGTATCTTATGGTTTTCAGTGCAGTTGTAAATGGGGTTGATTCCTTAATTTTTCTATTCCTTCATTATTGGTGTATAGAAATGTAGCACATTTCTGTATGTTGATTTTGTATTCTGTGACTTTACAGAATTTGTCTATCAGTTCTAGCAGTTTTCTGGTGGAGTCTTTGGGGTTTTCTATATAGAGTATGAAGTTATCTGCAAATAGTGAAGGTTTGACTTCTTCCTTGACAATTTGGATGCCTTTTATTTCATTTTGTTGTCTGATTGCTGTGGCTAAGACTTCCAGTACTATGTTAAATAACTGGTGAGAGTGGACATCCCTGTCTTGTTCCTGACCATAGAGGAGAAGCTCAGGTTTTCCCCATTGAGGATATTAGCTGTGGGTTTTTTGTAAATGGCCTTTATTATGTTGAGGTATGTTCTCTCTAAACCTACTTTATTGAGGGCTTTTATCCTTTCTTTTATTAATGTGGTGTATCACATTGATTTGTGAATATTGAACCACCCTAGCAAACCAGGAGTAAATCCCACTTTATCACAGAGAATGATTCTTTGAATGTACTGTTGGATTCTGTTTGCTAGTATTTTATTGAGAATTTTTACACCATGTTCATCAAAGATATTGGCCTATACTTTTTTTTTTTTTTTGTCATTTATTTATCTGGTTTTGGTTTCAGGGTAATGCTGGCCTCATAAAATGAATTTGGACTTTTTCCTTTTTTTATTTTTTTGGAATAGTTTGAGAAGAATAGGTATTAACTCTTCTTTAAATGTTTGGTAGGGATCTCCTTTGAAGCCATCTGGCCCTGGACTTGTATTTGTTGGGAGATTTTTGATTATTGATTCAATTTCTTTGCTGGTTATAGGTCTGTTAAAGTTTTCTGTTTCTTCCCATTTCAGTTTTGGTAGTTTATATGTTTCTAGGAATTTATCCATTTCTTCCAGATTGTCCAATTTATTGGCATATAGTTTTTCATAATATGCTCTTATAATTTTTTTGTATTTCTGTCGTGTTGGTTGTTATGTCTCTTCTCTCACTTGTGGTTTTATTTATTTGGGTCCTTTCTGTCTTCTTTTTGATAAGTCTAGCTAGAGGTTTATCAATTTTTTTTTTAAAGAACCATCTCCTGGTTTCACTGATGTGCTGTTTTTGTTTTTGTGGGTTTTTTGTTTTTTCTATATCATTTATTTCTGCTCTATTATTTCCTTCTGGCTTTAGGCTTCATTTGTTGTTCTTTTTCTAGCTCCTTTAGGTTGGAGATACATAATTAAAGGCTGTTAGTAAATAGATAATTTGAAGTCATAGGTCTGAATAACATCACTTAACACATCGAATAATATCACTTAAGATGGTATAAACAGAGGGTAAAATTGTGGGCTCATGTCTGAGTACATTTAAAGGTTGGGAAAAGGACAATCATGAATTTTGAGCATTGGAAGAAGTGAATATTAAATGAATTGTATTTATAAATTCTTGAATAGTGTCTGACACACAGTGTTCATTAAATAAAATAAATTCAACTAAAATCACCCTGATATATTGCATTCACCTTCCATTTCATTTCATTTTCTTACCTGTTTGTTTTAGTCTACATTCTCCTTTGATTTTTCTGCTTTATATTAAGGTTTTATTGATAATGAAATGATTAAGCACCTACATTTCTTCTGATATTATATACCATTATGCTGAAATGTGGCTTGAATCCTTTACAGCAAAATCCCCAGTTTGTCTATGCTGATGGTCTCAAACTCTTACTTTCTCATTCTGAAATTCACTCAAGTTAGTGTTTTCTCTTTACCACTCCACTGAAACTGTTTCCAACGTTAAAAATTTGCTAAATCTAATGTCAGTTCTTAGTCTCTATCTTACTTGACCTGTCAGTAGCATTTGACAGTTCTTATCAGTCTGTCAGTGAAATGTGTATTTCACTCTGCATCCAAAGCACCATATTCTTGTTTTCCTACTTCCTTATTTAAGGCTGCTCCTTCTGTCTCTTTGGATGATTCCTCACCTTCTCCATGATTTCTTATATGGCTCAGTGCTTGTATGTCTTTTATTTTACATCTATACTCGTGTTGACCTCGTCTAGTTCTTAAGCATCAGTGCTTCTGCATACTATCTTCAGGAACTTTCCTTTGAACTTCAACACTGTATATCCAATCATCCTGACATTACCACTTAGAAATTTGATTAGCATCTCAAAATTAAGATGGTTCAGACCCAGCTTCTGATTATCATCCACACCCCAAATTTGCCTCAACCAAGATTTTCTGTAAGTTAATGACAAATCTAGGCTTCTGTTCATTCAAGTGGAAACACTTGAGAGTCCACCTTGATCTCTCTTTTGCTTATAAGGAAAATTTTCTGGTTTACATTCCCATGATACCTGCAGTGTGACCATGTCTCACCATCTCTGCTGTGACTACCTTGCTTTAATTCATCTGGATTATTGAAATAACCAACTGTCTCCCTGCTTCCATAAGTATCCTCCTACAACCTGTACTTAGAATGATAGCTGAGTGATTTTGCTGAAAGTGTATTACAGTAAGGAGGGGGAAGGAGCCAAAAACCCAATAGAAAAATGGGAAAAATACATGAACAGACAATTCACCATAAAAGATTTGAAAACAACCTGAAACATACTAAAAATGTTCACATTCACTCAAATTGGACAAATGCAAATTAAAACCACTCAAAACATTTCTCATTGGTGAGACTGGAAAAGATCTGAGAATATGGCAACACATTCTGTTGGCAATGCTGTGAGGAAATAGACATGCTTATACATTGCTGATGGGAATACAAATTGTACAACTCTGAAGAGAAATTTGGCAATGTCAAACAAAATTTCATATGTATTAAGCTCTCAACCAATGCAGCCAGCAATTCTAAGAATCCACCTTGAAGCTATGCCTCCAAC